TAAGAAGTCTCAAAGAGATAGAGAGAGAGCGATGGATTAGTTTCTTGAAAAATAAAATATAAGGATCACATTTATATATAAACTATTATTTGAATTTAAACTCGAGCAAAGGACAAATACGTTGATTATTAAAAAACTATTTTTTGTACACTTTGTAATGGAGAATTTTTGTTTTAAATGCACCGTTTGGTAAAAGAACTAGCTATAAACTTTTGATTATACGATATAGCTTCAAATATAAGGTAACGTATTTTTAATTAAAAAAACATTTAACAAATATTTTAAAACTTACTTAAGCGTCAAATTGAAGGTAAATTTACTTTTTCTCAGGAAATGAATTTGATTTTTAAATATTTATTAGTTGGTCAGGAAATAATACTATACTATGAACAAAAAAAGAAGAATAGTTTATTTACAGAATATGTTTAATACTATACTATATATGTTTCTAGTTTTGTAGTTGGAAGACAAACAGTTAGTTCATTTGAAAATACCTTGAATTCAATTTCAATGAACTGACAACAGTTGTAAACATCCTTTTTGAAACACGAAAAGTAGGGATCATTACTCAGAAATTTTGAAAAAGCGTATTATTTATAAAAAAAAAAAAAGAGATAAACCTTAAGAGAAAAAATAATACGGATTTACAGAATATTTTCTACACAGAGTCTAGATTTTAGGGCAGTGAATAATTATTGTTTTGAAAAGGATAGAAAGAAAGAAATTAAGATAAATAATTTTTAAAAAAAGATCTGACACAACCTCGTGAAGAACTGAGTTACAAGACAAAATGATGTCATGGAAAGACAAAAGATGGAGCGCTCTAATTTTTTTATTAATCGCTTTTTTATTTTCGAATTGTTTCTTTAAAATATACAAAAAGAGAAAGAAATATAGAAAATCAAACACAACGGAACACGGATCTGCAGACAAACAATGAAGACGAACAGAGAGTAAATTATATTTTTTGAAATTATTTTATAAATTAAAACTAACCTTCAAGATTCAAAAGTGGTGTCTCTTCCTTGAAGAATTTGCTATACTATTAATATAAGAATTATGTCTTTATGGAGCATTGTGTTCTTACTCGATTTTAGAGATACCCTTCTCGTAATTCCCGTTGTTAATTAATTTAATTATCCTCATTTTCCCTCCATAACCCATGATCCCGTTTACTTTAAAATATCTTGATTTAAATGCTAAGATCTTTTTTCTCTAATTAAGTTAAGTGATCGAATGAATTTCAAAACATTAATCACTAATTAATTCGTTGTGATTTGGTATGAAGCTTAGGATTACGCTAATGGCATTGGTTATGGAATTATCTTGACTTGTTTCTTAATCAAGTTTGGCTTAAAAATGGAATGAGTACATGATTTGTAGTTCGAAAAGAATATTAACAATGCTATTAATGCAAAACCAAAAATACATGAACGTTGACCAAGTCATTTCCCATCATTATGGCTAAGTTTTATGCTCATGATGTCTAAGTGTGGCTTATGGGAAACAAATGGTGAATCAGGAAACTATAATAGAAAGTTGAAACTTTATGTCTTAATGATGAGTTTCTGTTACCAATCAAAGAAGGTAGTAGCATTGGGTTTGTCTACCTCGAGAAATGATATTAATTTTGTGAAACAATGTACCTTTTAACTTTCTTCTTTGTACTTTTTTGGCTTTGATTTATTTAGTTTTGGTATAAGGTCATACTAATTTTAGATTCTAGAGTTGTAACGGGAACCTCACGGTAGCAAAATTTCAATAACTTCGTTTTACGTGACAAACGTAATTTCAAGAGTATTGATCTTTTTTTTCTTTTTGTCAACAAGAGTATTGATCTTGTAACCCAAAAACTGAATCAAATTTTACTTTCTCTCAACGTAATTTAAACCATATTCAACCTTGTTATATTACTCATACCTAGATTTGTGACTAGACTATTTTTCTTAGTTGAATTTGAATCTGGCATTCGAGTTTCGACTTAATATTTTGGTC